TTTTTGTCAGGTAGTGGACACAGTTCTTGCCAGGGAGCTCTAAGCTCATGGTAGGGGAAGGGAACCCCTATGTGCCCGTGGGAAGCTTCAGATCTAGCCACAGGACATGCAGGTGAGTGGTCCTGAGACTCACCCAGAGGCTCCATGCTGGGAGGAGGGGAGTGCCAGATAAATAGTAGTGATGCAGACAGAAGAGCAGGCTTGTCTCAGAGAAGCAGGGTCAGGTCAAATGCGAGTGCCTGGGTTTTGGAGGGTGGCAGAAGAGCAGAGCTGGTGTCTGTTCCTGTGAGTGTGCTTTCCTTCTCCCACTGGCATCTTCACATTACTGTCTTACAGCAACCGGCGAGTTCCTTAACTGTGAAGGGTCTGGCCTCTTTGTGCTTCAAAGCTGCTGTGAGTCTCGGCACTGGGGAGGAATGGGCCCGCATGTTTCTGCCCCTGCCACTTCTCTTTCCCAGTTTACCCTTTTTGGGCTGACCAGGTCAAGTCTAGAGTGGGGTTTGGTCTGTGTTTTTATGGAAATTCTCTTGGAAATTATTGCTCTTATCAGTTTTTCTCTTCTCTTCTCTTCTCTTCTCTTCTCTTCTCTTCTCTTCTCTTCTCTTCTCTTCTCTTCTCTTCTCTCCTCTTCTCTTCTCCCTTCCTTCCTTTCTCATTCATTCATTCATTCATTCATTCATTCATTCATTCATTCATTCATTCATTCATGTTTTTGCTTGTTTGTGATGTTACTGGGAGCCAAGCAACCCAAGGCTCATTCATCCCCAGCCTTCTGCTTGTGTTGGAACAGATATTTACAGTGGCCAGGTCCACCTAAGGGGATGCACAGAGCCCTGCTGCTTGCCAAGGGAAGCATGGGCATTGTACCACCACTGCCCTATGGGATGTGGTCAGGAAGCACTAGTAGAGCCTGAGGCCTATAGGGTCTTGGGAGGAGGCCTCACGCTGGAAGAGTCTCCTCAGTACCTGGGAAGACCAAGGCCACCTCTCACAAAGACCTCCCCAGATCCCAGCCTTGCACCTCCTGCTTTCCTCACTACTAAATAACCTCTCTTCCCAGGCTGGGTGGTCAGGGGTTCCAAGTTAGCAGACAGAAGTAAATGATCTGTTGTAATGTCCTCAGAGCCCCATGCCTCCCTTGGTGAGACAATGGGACACATCTGAGAACATGGTCAGTCTCGTGGGGTGGGGGTGGAGCCAGCAGTGATACAAAGCACATTGGATCAGCACTGTGGTCTTCAGGGAAGAGGCACTGACTGGGTCAGAAGACAGGAAATGGGGTCTCACACCTGCCCTTCCTTGCAATGTTCAACCACAAAGTAAGTGACCTAGGCCTTTTTTTTGTGGTTTTTCCGAGACAGGGTTTCTCTGTGTAGCTTTGCACCTTTCCTGGAACTCGTTTTGGAACCAGGCTGGCCTCGAACTCACAGAGATCTGCCTGCCTCTGCCTCCCAAGTGCTGGGATTAAAGTTGTGCGTCACCACCGCCCGGCGACCTAGGCCTTTTTAAGTTTTGAGACAGGGTTTCCTGTAGCCTAGGTTGACCTTGAACTTGCTATATAGACAAGGATGATCTTGAATTCCTAATCCACCTCCTAAGTACTGAGACTATAGGCATGCCATGCCCAGCCTTTTTTTTTTTTTTTTTTTTTTTTTGAGACAGGGTCTCTGGAGTCCTGACTAGACTGGAACTCTGTGTAGTCCTGTTGGGCTTCGAATCACAGCAAATCCTCCTATCTAGCTCCTGGGGGTGGAGATTACAGGTGTGGGCCACTTGGCTTGAGAATATTAGTTGAGTTTTACTTATTTTTTATATTTGTTTGTTGTATTTTTTTAGATAAGGTCTCACTGTGTAGCCCTAGCTGGCCTGGAACTTAGTATTGTAGATCTGCTTGCACTGCCCCCCAAGTACTGGGATTAAAGGCGAGTGCCACCACACATTGCTTCCTTTTGTTTTTAACATTTATTAACATACACAGAGCCTATGGTGAACAGATAGAGGTCAGTCAGGTCTGTCTTTCTACTAAGTGGTTTCTAGGGATCACACTGAGGTTGTCAGGCTTGAGGCAAGCACCTTTACCTGCTGAGTCATCTACCTGCCCCTAGAATTATATTTTTGTTTTGTTTTCTTCCAAGACAGGGTTTCTCTGCCTTGTCTATCTTGGAATTAGCTCTGTAGACCAGGTTGGCCTCAAACTCAAGAGATCCGCCTGCCTCTGCTTCTCAAGTGCTGGAATTAAAGGTGTGCGCCGCCGCCGTTGCCACCACCGCCGCCGCCACCACCACCACCCAGCTAGAATTACCATTTTTTAAAAACTGATTTTCATTGCTGGGCATAGATACACTTGTGAGTTGGAGGCAGGAGTGTCTCAAGTTCAAGGGTAGCTTGACCCAGATTGAAAACTAAGGGCTGGGGTGTAGACCAATCATGGAATGCTTGCCTAGTAAGTGCAAGGTCTTGGGCTCTACATACACATACTTCACTCATTATCTGTCTTTTGTGATCCAGGCAACCACAGCTGTGTTCCCAATGCAGAGACCTCCTTCCCAGAAAACAACTTCCTTTTGCATGTTACCGCCTTGGAAGATATTAAGCCGGGCGAGGTGAGGGGACTTGGCAGCAGGGGTGGGCATAGGGCCTTGCAGGTTCTCTCCAGGGAACAGCAGTAGCCAGCTGGAGCCCTTTGTTGGGCTGGCAGAAAGTCAGCACAGGCCCCAGGGTGTGATCTGATCCCTCAGTTCTTCAAACATCTGTAGAAAGTTTCAGATTGAAGTAGAGCTATGTGCCCAGCTACTTTTTGATTTCTTTGTGGCTTGAGCCACGGGGTGGAGTGTGGATTGAGAGTCTGATTGGTGGCCACAGCCTGGTGAAATTTTCTCCTATACAAGTTATCATCCAGAGGTTAACCTCTGATTCCATCTACAGACCTTGGCTACTGGCTAGTTTTCCTCAGGGTCTGAGGCCAACCTCCACCCTTGTCTGTCTCAGACCCAGCTGGAGGCATGGGTATGGATCAGTGTTGAAGGGCATTGACGGCCTAAATGCTGGGCCAGGACCAGTGGTTGACAGTGGATAGGCAGCTGTTGGGGAAGCTCTTTCCTATCTGAGGGAGGGCATAGGCACTCACACCCTCCTCTGCCCCACAGGAAATCTGTATCAGCTACTTAGACTGCTGTCAGCGGGAGCGCAGCCGCCACAGCCGCCACAAGATCCTCAGGTGCCAGCTGGGGACATGGTCGGGCTCTGGGCTCTTTCATCCTAGCAAGGCCTGACTTGTCACTTCTCTACTTTGAAGGGAGAACTACTTGTTCATCTGTTCCTGTCCCAAATGCCTGGCAGAGGCTGATGACCCCAATGTGACCTCAGAAGAGGAGGAAGAGGAAGATGAGGAGGAAGGAGAGCCAGAAGATGCAGAGCTAGGGGATGAGATGACTGATGTGTGACCTTGCCTGGAAGAGGCTCTGCCCAAACCCTGCTGGAAAAGGGGGCCCATCCTCCACAAATGTGGTTGGGAGGAACATCCCCTCCCCCTTGCACCCATTGCCTGCTTTCTCCCTTCTGGCCTTCTGTCGGAGGGTAGGAGAGAGGCTGGACCCGCCCCCACCAGACCTCATGCCCTGAGCACTGCTGCTGAGCTGCATCGGCCCTGTGCCCTCACCAAGCCTTCCGGAACTGGTCTTCCCCTGCCATGCCCCACTGTAGCTGTGAGACTGGAACAGGCTCCAAGCCTCACAGTGTTCTTCCTCTGGGCCCCTTGGCCCATACTCACCCATCCACCTGAGGCTTGACCCTTCTAGACTGGCTGTTAATTTGAGGGTGACAACAAAATTGCCAATCTGAAAGCAGACTGATTTCTTTGACAGAAAGAGGTGATGTGATGCCTTACCTCTTCCTTACTGCTCACCTACCACAGCTGCAGCTGAAGTAATATCCTGCCACTTGCCAGCATGAGGCAGGAACAAAGGTCTAGGCCTTCAGAACACTTCAGAAGACTGTGCCGGGGTGCTGGGCTGTTCCCATTGGACACTGGGGAGGTGGAGAGTAACCGACTCTCTAGACTCCAGATTGCTGTGCCTGTGCCTTGCCTCTTGGGGCTCAGGCAAGATGGCTAGCCCTATAAGGTATAGATGAGGCCTGTCTTCATCAGGACTCTAGCAGTATGGCAGATGACAGATTGTGCTCCTTAATTTAGGATGCTCCACTCTTCCTGGGACCAGCTGAAATGGTCCAGCAAAGGGTCTGATCTCAGACATTCACCTTTAGGATATCCATAGAGGAACACTGAGGTCTTCCAGAAACCTGAAGGAGCTGGGCAGACGCTTAGAGATGAGCCATGACTTTGTTCCCTCCTCGCCACAGATGACCATCTCATTCTTGGGGTGGGCATTGTGGAAATGACAGCTACCACTCCCCATCTTTCCCTGAGAGGCCTGCACACAGTCCTGCTGGGGGCTCCCAGGGAGGACTGGTACCTAGGCTACAAGCCCTTTCTAAGGTGGAGCCAGGTAGAACGTGCCTGACTGGCCCTCTACCTGTAGGGGCACACTTCTTCACAACAGCCAGCACCCCTCTCCCTCTGGTCTGCCCACTGGCCTCAATAAAATGTGAGTGGTGATAGCCTCTGCAGCAGTGTTTTATGGAGAGTGGGCTGGTGGAGCACTCTGGGCCTGCAGTAGTCAAGGTGGGTGCAGAGGGCACAAGTTAGACCCGTGGGCGGCAGCAGAACGCTCCATCTTTCTCAGTAGTGCTCATACTGTCAGCCACGCCAGCGTGTAATCCTCCCCAAAGCCAGAGCAAGGGTCTCTGAGGTTTGGTTTCAATTGCTGACTAGGTATAGAAGTCGTCTTCCCAGAGGGCTGGACCACAACTAGCAGTCTGTATAATCCTAATGGGCCTTGAGAAGCCATGGCCTTCTGTGAGCCTCCCCAAAATGCAGCAGTATGATGAAGGACCAAATACGAGTCCCACCACACCCATGCATTCTTAGTTTAGGACACAGGTACAAACCTAATGAGCTTTATTTAGCTTTATTGCTAACAAGTAGGGGATCCTTAGTCCCGGAATACCAGTTCTTTAAACCATTCCAGCAACAGCTACAAGGCTCACTGTGAGGAGGTCCTGGCTGCAGGAGGCTGAAACTGGTGGTGTATGACAGGTTGCAGATGACAAGGCCACCTGCCTTCAGCACCTTTTGTTCCCAGTTCTAGCCAGAAGCCTTGGGTCTGGTTCTTGCCTCTTGCTGGAGAATGAGATGTCCTTGCAGGTCCCAGGGAAGAGAAAGCCAGTCGTGTGGCTTCCCTGTCCCCTCCCTGGCTCTACTTGTCCTCAGAGTCTATCTCCAAACTCCAAGTGGCAGAATCTTAGGTTTCCTCTTCCAAGTGAATCACCTGTGGCTGGCACCTGGAGTCAGCCTTTCTACCAGAACGTCCAGGGAGGTTGCAGCAGCTCAAAGGTGGGGATACTGGTGACATTGACTGGGATAGAGATGATGGCCCACGGCAGCCCATGCTGTTCCAGAGACCTTCGGATCATGTAGCTGGGAGGGGCATGAAGAACAGTCACTTTCTCAGCACCCCATACTGCCCTCTGCCCGTCACTCTGGGAGTTTCCAGAACCTGAGAACTTTGGCCCTCTGACTGGGATATTCAAGACAGGGCCTGTGAGAGGGGCCTGCTGATTGCCTTTGAACCTACCAAGTCATGCCACCCAGTTTAGTGTGGACAGCCAGGAGCAAAGAGCCCTCACCCATCTCGGCCGAGCAGGAAGAGGGCAGGAATGTCAGCTGTGCGTTGAGTACTATCCTGGATCATCTCCACGTAGAAACTGTCATTGTCCACGGCATTGTCCGAGATGATCACAGCTCGCCCGCCATGCTCCTGGACCACCCTGGTCTTGGAGAGGAAGGAGCAGCCCCTGGAAGAGGTAGTGTTGAGACCAAAAGAAAAGCAGGTGCTAGCTGCCCCTCCCTCATCCTCTCTGGGAGGATGAAAGGACCATAGAGGACATGTATAGAGGGTCATCAGTACACAGCAGAAAGCAGACAAGACATTTCTTAAAGACCCGAAAAGGATGAATTTAAAGATCAACATTTCAAAGTACCATGAACTGTGATCAGAATTTGCCCTCCCCATGTGTCATGCCTGCCTACTGCCCACTCCTTACCCCCTTTCCACCAGAGCGATCTGGTCCTGGATGAAGAAGCCGTTGCTGAGTTCCCCACAGGCCTCTGGAGGTTCAGCAGGGACGAGGTGGATCTGCTCATACCGTGTGTGCTGAAAAATGTTTGGACATTTGGACAAGTAAGAGTGTAAGAAAACATGGCTTTGAACGAGCTAACAATTCCTTCTTCCTGGTACCTCATAATGAGTGAAGAAAGGAAATGGAGTGCTGAGGCCTTGAGTGCTTTAATTCTCACCAAGATCCATCTGATGACTCAACTTCGCCCTGCCTTTCTGTGAGAGGGGAGCTGGTTACAACCCAGGGGCAGGGGAAGTGGGTAGGAGGACAGAGAAAGCTGGTGCCCTTGGTTTCTCAGGTAGTTTCCACCAGCGAAGGCAGTCCCTCCCTGGCTACAGTACGCAGCAGCTCTGGAGGGCACGGCTGCTTCCTGCCCTGTTCCAGCATAAAAGTGGGATGAGGGTCACCATGGCTCAGAGATGGCAAGAAGGCTGCTGAGGGTCAGAGACCTGAGCATCTTTGCACTTACAAATATACCACCAAAGTCCTTGGCAGGTGTGGCTGTGAAGATGTAGCGAATGTCCCCAGGACTCAGCACTTGGAAGTATAAGTAGTCATGGATGCGTAAGCCTAAAAGGAAGAGTGCAGATGAAAAGCCTCTTGGGAACAAGCTGGTTAGGGTTTAGATCTCGGGGTTCCTTCCCTATGTCTTCAGCTGGATGGGCATCAACTGACTGGATCCTTTGGGAGCATTATTTTTAAAACAGGGTCTCACTATGTAGCCCTGGCTTGCCTCAAACTCACAAAGATCCACTTCTGCCTCCCCCCTCCAACCCTAACTAGTGCTGAATTAAAGGTGTGCACTACCACACCATTTTTTAAAATGGCCTCACATAGCCCAGGCTGGCTTTGAACTAGTTTTGTTTCCTTGGTGGGCCTTGAGTCCTTCTTCCTGACTGCCTCCCAAACATGATTACAGGCATGCATTGCCACCCCCAGCCCGAGAGCTGGTTCCTGAACTGGACAGGACAGACTGGATACAAGAGATTTGTATTTGCCTGCTCCTCCTGCCACAGTGAGCCACAAAGACCCAGAGCTCTTGGGTTAGCATTCACGGCTGCTCTGAAGACCCCAAGTTTCTAACCAGAACTTACAAGTTAGCTCTGGTCTCACTGACATCTAATCCAGGCACTGTCACCTCTTGTCCTGACTGTTCAAGCTTAACTTGGTCTTGCTTCCATGTCTCCTTTTTCAGAAGGGTCTTGCTATGTTACCCAGACTGGTTTTCAACATTTGGGCTCAAGCAATCCTGCCTCAGGTTCCCATCTGTCTTCATTCTTTAATTCTCATTTCATCTTATGTATATGTGTGCTTTGGCCACATGTATATCCATGCACCATGTGTGTGCCTGGTGCCTGCAGCATCCAGAAAGAGGGTGTCAGCTCCCCGGAACTGGAGGGACAAGCGGTTGTGAGTGGGCCCTCTAGAAGAACAGCTAGTACCCTAACTGCTGAGCCATCTCTCAGCTCCCTCTCTCCATGCCCTCCTTACAGTCCTTAAGGTCCTCCAGCCACCCACTCACTGCCAGAGCCTCAGTGTCTCCTTCCCTGACTAAAGCGTATGCTGCTGCTCACTGTGGTGTAGAAGGCCTTGCATGATCGACTCCTACCCCGGCTCCAATCTTGTTTTCCTCTTTCCCAGGTTCAAGCTGAACTCGCTTTTCAGTGTTTCCATCTTTTGGGGTCTTCTTAAAAGTTCACCTGTCATTTCTCAGATAGATGCTGCCTTGTCCCTTCCTATACCCATTCAAAATGTACTTTCTTCCAGCTGCTCCTTCCTCTGTAATTATGATGTATGTATAATATTCTATGTCTGCTTCTTCCACTGGAGCAATGATTCTAAGTTTGTGGCTTTACTCAGTGATGAATCCCCAGTGCCCAGGACACAGTGGCTGCTCAGCAAAGGTTACTGAATGAACAGATACCTGCCCTGTCCTGAACAGGAGAACTGCCAGAACCACCAGGGTTTTAGGATAGAGAAACTTTTCAGCATCGAAGTTTAATGTTTTCCTGGGATTTGAGTCCCTGGATTGCTTAAGTCCAGAGAGAGGAGTGAATGTTGATGGATGGAAGCTGTGGCCTCAGGTCTGTTAATCAGTTTAACGACCAAGCTATCACTGTGTGGGCTGTGGCTACGACTGGCTGTGGTTGTGGCTGTTGCTGTTTATGGTCCGAATCGCAGCCACCCAGACAGAGTTCAGGGGGCTTGCAGCTTTTTGTCCTGAGTGTAGATATACTCCATCAGATGGATACACCCCCCAAGGAAGCCTTCTGGATTAACATGAGGCAACCCTTTTCACAAGTACACTCCTGTCTGGCGTTTGATGTGTTTATCTCTTCGGTTACATATTCATGTGTTCACTTAGCGCGTAGGTGTGTACATTTATGTGCGAGTTGTGTAAGTGAGTGCCTGTGCGTGTGAGCCCACGTGTATGTTCCTGCCGGCATGAACGCTCACGTTTCTCCATTCTAGATCTCTAGCTGTCACCTGGGTCGCCCTCAGTGGGAGGAAGGCTGGAGGATCTTGCTCCGACGTGGGGAGCCTCTGGCTGCGCCTACTCATGGCCCCGGGGGCCAGCACCCACCCATTGCGGCCGTCTGGTCGCAGAACCAGGTCGGCCCAAACTCGCGGGGTCCCCAAGGTGACCCGTGGCCCCCGGCCCGAGCAGCGCGCACACTGGATGCCCACCCAGCCCGCCCGCCCTCCCGTCGCCGCTCACCGTGGGCCGCGACGCACGCGGGCAGCCAGAGCACGAGACAGCACCAGCCCGCGGCGCCACGGCTCATCTCCAGGGCCCGTCCCGCCGCCGCCGCCGCCGTCCCGCCGCGCTCGCTAGCCGGACTTTAGCCTGACAGCTGCCCCGGCCTCCCCCAGGCCCGCTCTCGGCGCGGGTTGGAGCGCGGAAGCGAGGCCGGCGGCTGATTGGCTGTCATGCCTGTTCGTGTGGCCGTACTTTCCGCCTCTGCGCCCTAGGCTACTTCCTATTGGCCAGGAGAAGTGGAGCCGGGAGCGGATTTGCCAAAACTCTTAATAGCAACTGCAGTTCGCAGCCCCGCCCCCGCGCTCCTCCGTATAGACGCGGCACCCGACCCGAGGGTGGGCGGCTCGCGGAGACAGACTTGCGGGGTGCTCGGGTGTCCTCGCCGCCGGGGGCTGGCTTCGCGCTGGGGCCGCGCGCGACCTCACCCTTCTCAGGCCGCAGGGCGGTGCCTCGGCCGACAGGAGGCGCTGCAGAGCCAGACGCCGCCGGGACAAGTTTCCCGCGCTCGGGGGTTGCGCACCTGTGACCCGGGACCCCTCAACTTCCCAGGCTACCTGTGAAAGGCCCAGAGCTCCAGCGCCCCGGAGCTCTGGGGGTGCAGTGAGCTCGCTCACCTAAGGTGCTTCCCACAGCCGGCGTTCCGGGTTGACATTTCGCCGCTTGTCTACCGTGGTATCCAGGGACGCGGGCCCGAGTGCGACGCGACTGCGCCCTCACAGTGCAAAAAATCACATCGAAACTCGATGACCCCACCATGCCAGACACGAGTTCCTAGAGCGTCCCTGGGGCCTCCGGCCTCTCTAGCCGGCCACCTCGGTTGTAGCTAACCATAGAGTGGCGGAAGTGGTCCGTCTCCTTCCTCTCCCGGGCCTCCCTCTAGCCAGAAGCTTCTGAGGACGCCTCCGGCGCGGAGCATTGTGGGCTTGGGTGGGCGGTTCCGAGGCCGGGAACAGGCGAGGTTTGGGCCCCTGAAACCGCTTCCAAGATGATGGTGAGTGGCGCCTTGCGTATCCGTTGCCATCCACGGCCGTAGGGCCCCCGCCTTGCCGGGAGGCTGCAGAGGCCGGCTCCCCGCTCCTTGCCCGTGGGCGGCCGCGGCCCGGAACTGGAGCGGTTGGCGAGAGCCGAATGGGGCTCGCGGCTCCACTGGGCCCGGAGACTCCGGGTCCCCCGGTGATTCAGGGCCGTTTCAGCCCCCTTCCCCGTGCTGGAGACTTGGGTTTTCGGCACCGAGTGCGGGTTGGGAGTATGCTTGGCTGCCCTGGGAGGTGCAGAAGCTTCTAGAGCGCTCAGAAGCAGCGGGAGGATCTTTGGGTTGGGCCGAGTGGCGCCCTGCATGGCACTGTGGTCGCTTGCGTTCCCGCATATACTCAGCCCGGCTGCCGCATGCGGGAAAACAGATCCCTTCATTCCTGTGGGAACCGTTTGTTCGCTCAGTGGTTCAGCGGGTGCGTTCTTAATGTCTCCTGAGTGTACAGGCCCAGCTTCACTCTGGGTAGGGGCGGCAGTTGAGGTACACAGCAACAGGGGTGGGAAGAAGACCAGAGTGCCTTAGGCAGGAGCCTCTTAAAGGTCTGCCTGTAGCGGTCCTTCATCAGACTTTCCCTGTGTATGATAAACCTCAGTGGTTAATGAGAGCAACGTCAACTTCAGATTCCTGTGCACTTGGCACCAGTTCACGAATTAATTTTTGCTTTTTCGGTGTCAATCCTTTGTCTGCCCTTTGCAGCTTCTTGTCTCCGGAATCCACACTGACTGATGACCTGTATGGCCTTCTCCCTGTTACCAAATAAAAATACTTTGTGATTGCAGCTCCTACTCAGTAGAAGGAACCCTTACAGAAGCGTGTCCATACTCCCCTAGCACTGTCCCTTTTCAAAGTCTATTTTCAACGTTACTAATTCTTGAAATTGATTTGGTTGGCAAGGACCAGAGCTGAGGAGTAAAACTGAGTCTCTTAATGTGCTACAGTAAAACATCAGGGCTGCAGATGTGACCCAATATATATCATTTGCATAGCATGGCCAAGGCCCTGAGATCCGAGCCCACTCAGCCCCCCCCAAAATAGCAAACCTTTCGTCAAAAGGCACAGGCCACTACATTTGGGTTTTACCTGAATTGATTATTCTTGTCCTATCCACTTGGCTTGTTTGCCTTCAGGTTATCTCCTTTCTTAAAATGTGAGTCCACCATGCTGTTAACAGACTGGTCTCAGGTTGTCTGGTCTTTTATAGATCATCAGGTCTAACGCTAGTGGCTTTTATTTTTTCGGGCACTGGGAATTGAACCTAAGGCCTCATTTGATTGTCCCACCACTTAACTATAGCCTGAGATTTTCCTCCTCTTTTCCAAATTTTATTTATTTATGTATATTTTTAGATAGGAGTGCTCTGTCCACGAATACCTGCACACTAGAACAGGGCATCAGAGCCTATTATGGATGTGGTTGCTGGGAATTGAACTGAGGACCTCTGGAAGAGCAGCCAGTGCTCGTAACCGCCGAGCCATCTCTCCAGCCCCTGAGACTTTATTTATTTTCAAGAGCAGGCTTGTCTTCCTTTGTAGCTCAAAGTCAGTGTGTAGCCCACTGTGGTGATGAGTTTTGTCAGCTTGACACAACTCAGAATCACCTGGGAAGAAAGTGTCGATGGGGGATTGTCTAGATTAGGTTGGTCTGGGGGGAATTAATAGTCTGGGTTGCTTTAATTGATATGGGAAGACCCAGCCCACTATGGGTGGCACCATTCCCTGAGCGTGGAGTCCTGGACTGTATAAGAGAAGAGAGCTAGGTGAGCACCAGCAAGTGAACAGCATGCATACATTCATTTTTCTCTGATCTTGACCTTCAGGTTACATGACACCACACCCCCGTACCCACCAAGTAGCAGACTGTAACCTGGATTTGTAAGCTAAAATAAACCCTTTTGTGCCCCCCCCCCTTTTTGGATTTTGAGAGAGTTTCTTGGTGTATCTCTAGCTATTCTGGAACTCTTCCTCTTACACATAACTAGTTTTAGTGGATTGATGTATATTCTTTAAAGTATGGAGTTACAGATGGTTGTGGTATTGGGAATCAAATTCCCTGTCCTCAGGGAGAGCAGGAAGGCCTCTTAAATGCTGAGCCATCTCTCCAACCTCAAATCTATTCTTACATTTCACTCTTGATACCTTTTCTTAGACCAATACAACTTTATTTATTACTACTTGTACTATTTCTTTCATTTGAGTGTCTGCGTGCCTACAACTGGCCGTTTTACTTTGAACCAGGCAGTGGTAGTGCAGTCCTTTAATCCCAGCACTCAGGAGGCAGAGGCAGACAGATCTCTGTGTTTGAGGCCAGTCTGGTCTACAGAGTGAGATCCAGGACAGTGAGGGCTACACAGAGAAACCCTGACGGGGCGGGGGGGATAAAAGAAAGAAAACATTGGTTTTTATTGGCTTATAGCTGTCTTGTAGGTTCTGCAACTTGTGCATACAATTTTGAGGCCAGCACCCTGATCCCAGTCTTCATTCACTAAAGACAGTGGCTCTCTAACCAAGATAGGCTATAGTGTGTGGTACTGGGTGCATCTTCATTTCTATCTCAGTGGACTGCTAATACCTTGCTCGACCAATTCCTTTTTTAAAAATTTTATTTCAATTGTATAGGAGTTTTGCCTGCATGCAGGTGAGTGTATCACTTGCGTGCCTGGTGCCTAGAAGGGTTACAGGTAGTTATGAGCCGTCTTGTGGGTGCTGCAAGTCAAACCCCAGTCCTCTGGAAGAGCACCAGTACTTTTAATTGTTGGGCCATCTCCCCAGCCCCAAGCAATTTCTTTCGACAACTGTGCTTATTGGATCCCAGGTTCCTGTCAGTCATGTTGGGCCGAAACCATGCTTTATTTCACATTGTCTGAAATCTGGTAAATGTACACCATTTACCAGCCGAGACTCAATTGTAAGTCTTTTGGTTTTGCACATATGAACTGTGTTTTCAAGCTTTAGGGTACATGTAAATCCACTTGATCTTTATGAAATTCAGGCCGTTTCCTTGGGTCTGGGATGCAGCAGACACATTTCTGATCACTTCTCAGGTGGAGCGCATGCTGTCACATGCCTTGCCATTGACCTGTAGCATATGTGCCTGTGCTGCTCACAGAGGATTTTGACAAATACGCAGCGTGGTTCAAAAGAATGTTTATGAAATAACCTAACAAAAAGTTGAATAGTATTCTGTTTCCTCAAAAATTATATGTTTAAAAAGGTCTAGTTCTGTAAGCCTAGCCTTGAAGAAAGAAAAAAGAAAGTTGGGAGCAGAGACTCTGACCAAGGTCATTTCCAGACCTAACACCCACTGGAGTTGAGAGGCAGGGTGGAGACAGCACAGTCCCCACTGCAGTGCCTGCATAGAATGAGGCCCCCTGGGGTGACAGCCACAGGATTCAGTAACAGGAGAGAGGAAAATGAGCCAGAGAGGAAAGAATGGAGGTCTGCACTTAGCAAGGTACATCAAGATCTAAGGTTCCATTCAGGAGATGAGGTGCTATGAAAAGTGAGTTCTTGGTGCAGAGAAAGCTCAGTTTCTGCCGCTGCCCCTCCCACTTCAGAAGCCTTATATATGTCCAGCCCACATACTGCTCACACAGGGGGACATCCAGCAGGGAATCTGCATGATTGCAGAAACTTGGACAGCTCCCTCTGCACCCCCTAACTGTAGTGCTCTCAGACACTGGGGTCTCTGGCTGCAGTGTGCAGCAGATTATTACAGGGATCAGGAGAGGTGGAGTGAGTTGACTAGCCATAGGTGGGTTGGGGACTTGGAGCTGGAGCAGGGTCTGTTCTGGGTAATTCTTAGCAAAGATAGCTACCACTGCCTCATGGCAGTGATTGTAGTGGACTTGGAGCACTCAGTCTGAGCATGTGTTAGTCCAGTGAATTCCTATAGCTCTTGGTACAAAGTATATGCGCCCCTCCATGGACCAGTGCCCCTCTTCCCTTTTGCTTTAGTTTCCCATTCTGGGCACCACCCTGAGCCAATTGGTAGACATAAAATCTTTTGCCTGGAAACTTATCTAGGCCCCCGGGGGTGTCTGCTACATTCTCTTTCAGCTGCCTGTGTACAAAGGCATCTTTCATGATGCCCCTCACACTTGGCCTGACTTGGTGGAACCTTTATTGCCCACTTGCAGCTCTGCTGAGGTTTTACCCTTGCTAGCTTAGAGTTCTTTGATATGCAGTTATCATTCACAATTGTCATGGCTAGTTTTATATCAATCAACTTGACACAAGCTAGAATCATTTGAGAGGAGGGAACCCCAAGTGAGAAAATATCTCCCTAAGAGTGGACTGTAGGCAAGCCTGTAGAGCATTTTCTTCATGATTGATGTAGGAGAGACCAGTCAATTGTGGGTGGTGCCATCCCTGGGCTGGTGGTCTTGGATTCTATAAGAAAGCAGGCTGAATAAACCTGTAAGCTCATTTCCCCATGGCCTCTGCATCAGCTCCTGCCTCTAGGTTCCTGCCCTGTTTTGAGTTCCTGTCCTGACTTCCTTCAGTGATGAATAGTGATGTGGAAGCATAGGCCAAAT